TAGCTAAGGAAACTTTTTTGCCATGAGCCCTGCATGTGCTTAGATGATCAGCTAGTTAACACACTACAACTCTCCAACTTTGCTTCCAATACAAAGACTTGTTTTTCCGGAACTAAGAGTTAGGATATTTTAAATAGAAGCCTCCCTTGAGAAACCAAATTACTTTAGACCCTGGGTACCTTGGAATCAGAAATATACCTGTTGGATATGACTCTTAGTAAAGAATTGGGGCTATTGCTAAGTTTATAGTCATTTTTGTAATTACTCAAAGGATAATTAGCAGAATACAGTTAACAAGCAGGTAGCACATAACCACCACTAACATGAATTGGTAGTACCTGTTTAAATGGTCTTGGCTTTTAATGGAAATGGACACCATTTTTCCTTCTGAATTTCTCTTGCTTTCTGTAGAATGGAAATACAATAGGATATTTTCAAAGCACAAAGTAAGGGAGGTGTTAATTCCGTCTTCTGTCAAATCAACAGTATTGAGAAGGTTCCAACAGTATTGAGAGGGTTCCAAAAAGTTAAGGGTTTCCATTTCTTCAGTTTTATGCTTGAGTTTTAATAAAACAGCACTAGTTTGATTTTTTTGCCTTGTTTGCTGATAAGGAAATGTATGTTTGTGTGTGTTTTTAAAGTTTTGGTTAGTAGTTTCTTTGAATAAAGTTTTTGAGCAGAATGCTTAACTGGTTTTAGGGAAATATTTTTGGTACCTTTGGCTTTGTGTTATGTGTATGGTTTGTTCTGACTGTGCTGTGTGTTCACTTTAGTATTTTTTGCCATTTTTTTCCATTTTATTAGCGTCATGCCCTATCACTTTTCCCCTCATTGATTTCAAAACAATGCATCTGCAGAGAGATGGGGAGGGTAAGTATGGTTCACCATAGTTTAGTGTTTTGGTTTTTTTTGCCTTTTTATGGTTCACTTTATCTATTAGCCCTTCTCCTGCTGCCCCTATACCCTGGGAACCCTGTTCTGGGTCGAAATGACACCCAGAGGAATTTGTTTTTGTTATTTCCCTCTTTTCTTAAAACAGGAGATTTCATATAAAATATTTAATGCCAGTTACTTATTTGCTGGGAAGCAGGTACAAGGGTTTCTTTGAAAGTCACTTTACTGCTGGGTTTATTATGGGGTTGCACGCTTTGTATCCAATATTTAGTTAACAAGATTGAGCTGGGCTTTAAAAACTAACCAAATTGTATCATTACCCTGTGGGGTGGGGGGTGGGGGTGGAGTGGTGTCTTAAATTGGTTAATGCATAAATACTAAACTAAATAATGAAAGCCAGCCCTTAGCTATTTTTGTGAAGAAAAAGAAAACACTTTTGAGTTTTGACACTGTCAAGTTACTTTGCGTGAAAAAGTACTTAAAAATTCATTTTTCCCTATTGTTATCCATAGAGCAAAGTTTTAAATTGTATTTATATATAAAGCTAATAGGTAGATGAAAAAGCTTTTTCCTGCCACCTGTTTATATTGATGCTTGAATTTAATTTTGTATTTGGAATATGTTGTAGATTTTGTGTATATCTGTATGTACGCTTAAATGTAATTAAACCTTAGGTGTGCAAAGACTTCAAATATGTCATCTTGACTTCATATTTGAACATACAAGTTAACTCCCATAAAATAAATAAATATGCAGTTGCATAGGTATTAAATAGATATCCCCATAACAGAAAATAAATACCATAGTTTAATGTTAGAGGTTAGATGCTATCAGGTGAGTTAGCTGCAATTTTAAAATATTAGAGTTTTTCTGGAGTCATAGAGCTCTGTTTTGTTAGTGTTCTTTGTAGATGCAGATACAGATGTTTCTGTATTTTTGACATAGCCACTCAACAGTGAGGTATAGTTTATTCACCTGACAGGATATGACTCTTAAGCTTAATTATTTCTTAAATAAGGACTATTGAGTGTTTGCTATTTCTAAATAAAGACTGCCCTACTTAAAAAATAACCAATACCATTCAAAAGAGCTTGACAGTGTCCTTTCTTGCTTTGCCACTGGGTTCAGAAATAAAGCGTATAAATCCCGTAGTGACAATAGAAATCTGAGCTGAAAAATTAAGTTCAGATAATTATATAAAATTATAATTTATGGTAGGCTTTCTAAAGGTCCTAATAGTTCTTTTGTTTTTTAAAAAATAACATTTCAACAACTTTATAATGATAAAGATTTAAAGAACAAATAGCTGAATCTTTGTAACTTTATTTTCCATGTGGAATCAAGAGACCCAAGGTACTAGGTACAATTCTTTTTATTTGTTTTGCAGATCCATTTCCCGCTTTCAAGTCTTGGCAAGAGGACTCTGAGTCTGGAGAAGCTCAACTATCTCCACAAGCTGGAAGAATGAATCATCATCCTTTGGAAGAAGACTGTCCTCCAGTATTATCACACCGTAGTTTAGATTTTGGACAAAGCCAACGTTTCCTACATGACCCCGAAATGTTGGATTCCTCATCTAAAGCACTTTCTTTTGCTAGGTATGATTTTTTTAATACTTAGGAGAGCCAATCCCTAGAAGTAAGTGCCCAGGTCGTCTGAGCCAGTCCTCCAGGCTTACGGTGCCACACTTTCATCCTGCCTTCATGAAGCCCAGTTTGCTCACTTTCTTGCAATTTGCCCTTCTCTACTAAGTCCCGCATTTCGATGAGGGCTACATAGATGTAAAAGTTTCTTCTCTCTTTTGGGGGTGGGGGTTGGGGTTGTGTTCGTATAAACATTTCCTCACAGTACTCATTAACTCTTTCATTCATGAGTAAAATATAGGAGTTACCAAGTGGAACTCATCTGTTCATAATGGTTTTCTTTCTTGTCAAAACTTTAAATTGACTGTGAATGTCAAAAACACGCACTTGCAGTCTGAATATCAAAACAACTCAGAGCTGCTTGGTATCTTTGTTTCTTCTTAGCCTTTGCACAAACAACTTTTGAATGATTTTCAACTGTTGTGTGATGACCACATGTTACTTAATTTTGTGATCTTTTTACTCTTGCATCCTAATTTTAGGGTCTTAATTTAACTTTAGAGTTAAGTTTCTTGATAACAGTGTCAAGATAATAAGAATGAGATTAATACAGTGCTCACCTCTTATTTTAATTCAGGACTCGAAGATCATCCTTTAATTCAAAAGATGAAAAAAGAGAAGACAGATCACCGTATCAGTTGGTCAAGAAATTTCAGAAAAAAATCAGACAATTTGAAGAACAGTTTGAAAGGGAAAGAAATAGCAAAGTAAGTTCATAATATTTATCCATATGAGCTATATGTAATATTAGGACTGGGATGAGGGTCTTTGAAGAGCATTGATTTAGCGCTGTCCTGAGAGAGAAGGAAGAAGGACTCTGATGAGATGCCCAGGGACACAAAGATCATACGACTCAGATCATAGAGATTTGTACTGTGGTATCTATACATTTCTGTTGGCAAACAAATTTTAGAATTTTTAAAGCAAATCTTTTATATTGACATATCGTGTTAAAGCTATTTCTGTTCCTTCCAAAGCCACATGCAGTAATAAATTTGTGTGCTTGTGTATCTGTGTCATTAATTAGAACATGGGAAGTGGAAAGAGTTCAAATATGGCTTCTGCTATTTAGTGAGCCCCTACCCTGGAAGAGCTTTACTTACATATTTTTACCTTCCTGCTTAAAAAAAGATAAAATGAGGACTGAGTGAAATCTATGATGTGGGAATTATAAAATACTATTTGGAAATAAATTACCGGTAACATAGGCATTGTTTACCAGACACAGGTGTCAGTGATTCCTTTCCTTACATTTTCAGCCCTCCTACAGTGACATTGCAGCCAATCCAAAGGTATTAAAATGGATGACAGAGCTTACCAAATTGCGGAAGCAAATTAAAGGTATAAAATATGCCATGTTTGTCATATATTTTCATATTTTAAAATGTCCTTTATAATAATGCCTATGGAAACTATAGTTGTAATTTTTGATAAATTTTAAAGTTTCTTTTTCTACTTTTGTTAAAAATGGGTTGCATAATATGATATGGACAAATTTAGTATATTTTTCAAAATGCCTTATGTATTTATTAGTAATATTCTTTGGAAAGGTGCTTTATAGTATACATTTGCAGATTAACTATACAGTTTATCTGAAATATATTTTAAAATTTTGAGCAGTTTGTTTTTGGTAGGCATTTTATTACGCATTTTGGTGGTTAGTTCATTTAATACTAGTGGTATCTAATCAAAATTAAATGCTTGTGCTGAAAGACTTAAATATTCTTGAATTAAAGAAATTCTTGAAGCTTTTCTTGAAGCTAGGACTTGTATTTCTGTGTTGGCTTAGAATAAAGTTCATAAGATATATGCCTTGTGGGCATTTAGTGAGTTTTCTTTTTAGTAATTTTTAATACTTGATAAATTATCTGTGTGAAGTATGAGTTTATTCTCTAAAGCACATTTGAATTTATGTAACAAAAATTTAGAATCTCTTGAGTGCCTTGTACTTTGTATGCACTCTGGGGATAGAGCAGTAAACAAGACAAAACACTGTGGATTGACACTCTGTCCGCAACAATTGGCTCGTGCATAGGAACAATTGTGAGGATGGCGCAGGAGTGGGCAGTGTTTTGTTCTGATGTGCTTAAGGACACTGTTGGCTGGAACCAATTCCATGCCACCTGACGACTGCCATGGAGTTGGCATTCAATTCATGTTTAAAATAAGTCCTCTTAACTCTTTAGGGTTTTGGTGCCCCACCACCACCGCAATTCAGTTAAGCATTTCCATATGTGTTTCTAAGTATTAGTTAAAATCATTACCTTGATTACTATTAGTAGCCTCCTAAGTAATTTCTCAGTGTTCTTCTACTCTAACTGTTCAATAGTCTGAGCTCTGCATAGCAGGTAGGATTACCTTTTGAAAAATAATATTACTTATGTACATGCCTATATTTAGACCTCTATAAATGCCCCTTTGCCTCCTAGTTCTTTCCTATATTTCCTTTTACTTTCCTTTTGTCTCACTAGCATATTCAGCCTTCATTTGGGTTTCACTAATTCCTCTCATTTACATTGCCCTTGATCAAGTCCTGCCAGGCCTCCTGTGCCCTCCTCACCATCAATTTTTGATCACTTGTTGTTCCATTGTCCCTGGTCATGTACATATGTAAATATATATGATGATTGGGAAATCTATGTGCATGTATTTATAGGTTTAGTATTGAGGTAGCAGATGGACATTGGGCCTCTCTACTCAAGTACTCCCTCAACACAGGAACACTTTGTTCTATTAACCTGGCATTCCATTATGCTCACCTTCCCAACATGATCGCTGAAGACAAAGTGGGTACATAAGCAAATGTGTTGAAGAAAGCTAATGGTGCTTGGCTATCAAAAGATATAGCGT